TATAACCACGTGTCTTATCTAGCAGATGTTTTACGCACGAGATGTCTGATAACTCAGAGAGAGTGCGAGAGGAAGGAGAGAGAGAGAGAGAGGTGAGAGAGAGATGAGGAGAGAGAGAGAGAGAGGAGAGATGAGGGTGAGAGAGAGAGAGGAGAGAGAGAGAGGAGAGAGACTTGAGAGAGGAGAGAGAGGAAAGAGATGTGAGAGAGGAGGGGTGAGAGAGAGAGGAGGAGAGAGAGAGAGATGGTAGAGAGAGAGAGATATCTATATATATATTATATCTATATATATATTGGAGTATTTTGGCAGAATTCTTTCTTTGATACATGTTTGATTAAAATAAAAACTGCTGACTCAGCAGTAACGAGCTTTTTGATGCATCGTTCTAGTCTTCCGGCCTTTGACTTTGCGTCATCGTTAGATTAAATATGGTTCGCACAAAATTACTCATATATTCACCACTCCTTCCTTCTAACGTTTTGAGATCTTATCTCATCTTCGGAGAAGACTAAATTGCACATGAAATAAGTTTGAGTTTTTAAAGGATGAAAAAATTGTGACACTACTGTTGGAAAACATTTTTAGTACGGAGAACATAAATGAAGCACAACTAATTGAGTAAGAGGATCGCTATTTTCATCTTCATAATGTAAAAACATCATAATGGGCAATCACAAAGACACAATGGGTTTAAAAGATGTGATTGGACAATGAGTCTTTCCATTGTGTCTTTGTGAGTTCCCATTATGAGTGTTTCTTACATGTATGAAGATGAAAATAGCAATCCGTCTTACTTCAATTAGTTGTGCTTCATCTAGTTCTCCGTACTAAAAGATGTTTTCCAACAGTAGTGCAAATTTTTTCATCCTTTAAACCCCGAAACTTATTTCATGTGCAATTTAGTCTTCTCCGAAGATGAAATAAGATCTCGAAACGTTAGAATGGAAGGAGTGATTGAATATATGAGTAATTTTGTGCGAACCATATTTAATCTAAGCGATTGACGCAAAGTCAAAGGCCCGGAAACTAGAACGATGCATCAAAAAGCTCGTTAATGCTGAGTCAGCAGTTATTTTAATCAAACATATATATATATATATATATATATAATATATATATTTACATTCGGTTCAGCATTATTGACAAAAGCGGCTCACCTTTATTACATCACTTCCCCAAGCGACGGTTGATAAGTTTCCGCGTACGTAAATCCTGTGGCATGAGCGTCTTCGATTACTCAACCTCATGCGGAAGTGATCAATGATCAGGCCTCATCTATTGCGCGCTACATTGGGCATGTGGGGTGATGAGATCGACTTGGGTAATATCTAACGAGAAACAGTTCGTCAGTTGTGAATCACTCATCCAGCCCCAAAGGCGGTATATTTTGGTATGAAAGGAAGCATCTAGTAGCCCGCTCTTTGCCTGCTAAATGCAGACACGCCAGTTTCTGCGGTCCATCGCTACCTGTAGCGGTATCAATGCCGCAAGCTCGCTGCCCAAGCGTCCCCTAGATCATTTACCAGTGACTTTATTTCACTCGCCACCAGATCGTCAACGAAAAACGAGGACTGCGCCCCAACAGGCCTAATTAGCCACCCTCCCACCCTTTCCGGTAGTGCAAACAAAACGCCTTCCACTTGACCATGTCTCGGGCCTCGTGCCGGTGCGGGAACCTCCAGTATCCTGCCACCACCTTATCGGGTCCTCTTGTGAGGTCGGCTCCTACCGCGGAGGGCGGCCGGTGTTGGCCCTGAGCGGTTTACATGAGTCGATGAATAGTCCAGTAGCTATCACTTCGGCCACGGCGGCGCCGCCAGCCGCGCTACCATTACTGACGATCCAAGATCCCCTCAACACCAGCGTCTTTTCTTGGTCCGACAGTGGCTCCCAGAAATACCATGGTCCATAATCATCAGGGCTACCACGATGAGCATGCCTTTCAACCTATCAGATAAACTCTTTGTACGGGCTTCCTTTCATCCATGGCAACGTATACTTGTCCAAAGCGCAGGCTCTAAAAAATAAATGCTGAGATGCTGGGCTCCTCCCGGTAATGAAAAACCCGTCATGGCCAACAGGAGGCCTAGGAGGCGCAGCGGTCATACCGCTGAACAAGTTCATTCAAGATACGTCGACTCCAAGGGCACAAGTTTAGAGCGCATGTGACCGATCCTGCGATAACAAGCCTCCTGTTGTACTTCACCCGGCTGTTACGGCGCCTCCAGACGAAGACCACATTACAAGGCACAGCAGACCGCTCCAAACAGAGGCCTCAAGTCGCTAGATATCAAGTATTCAAACATCCCCAGTGTGCCTCGGACGTAACATCGGGCGCCTCTTGAGAACGCGTTGTTGCGTTGATGTCTGGCAGCGCAGTACAGCCAACCGCATTTAAAACCTTGTTTGTTGCCGAACGGCGGACACCAAAGGATTGTATGCTGGAGTGCATTGAAGGAACACACCACAATAGCCCGCGTGCTTAATATCTCCCAACCGTACCATGTTGCAATCTAAGTTCATGCCCCCAAACAAAGACATCGGAAACTAAGTTTGAGGTCAGACACTTGCTCCCCAAACTTCTCCAAAATGAATATTCGGTGATCAGTCCGTTACCATCTTCAGAAGTTAACTGCATCACCCGACGCTCGCTTAACGATCGTTTAGTGCTGCTCCGCGTTCTGCTTCGCGGTCGGGTCACACTGACGTCACTGGGGGGCGTTCCATTTCCGTGCTGTCAAAGGCCGGAATGAGGACCCTTTTGCTTCTGACCATAAAATATGCGTATCTCTTTGATGGAGCCTTTGCCAATCACGACATGTGCCTTTGTCATGCCATGGCTCCCCGTCATCAAGATCCTGAAATTAATCGTCTTTGTGGCAATGATTGAGCTGTCCTTCGTTACTCGTTTCGTTGCCGAATTGATGCAACAACAAATTGTGTTTGCACTCAGTTTGGCTGATATCGAGCACCATTTATTGGATGTTATGAGGGGACGAAATGCGTGCGTGATCAGCTATCATTGCACGTACTGAATCCGAGTTCTCGTCAAGTGGCACCAGACCTGCTTCAGACCATGCGACAGTTTTATCGTAATACATGAATAGTTTCATTGTAATGCATGTTTCGCTCACTGCAGGGGTTCCTGTTGTGTCACTCTGCCTTAGTAAGGGAACGAATCACCAATGGAGCCGCTTCCCGTGCCACGCGGGTCTTCTTTCAGTCGTGATTGGCGCATCCGACCAACTGCCCCTCTCCCTCCCTAAGATGTCCAGCTTCCTCTACATTAACAGGCATCTTTTTCTGTCATGACAGCGGCCTTCTGTCGCATTGTTGCTCCTTCCCAGACCGCCCCAAGCCTCGGCATCAGCGTGACTTTCTATCTAACTTGGCAAGGATATCTTCCGCGACTGCTCACCATCCACTTATTGCACGTAATCGGGTCGATCCACACCAGTTGGGCTGTTCGCTCACCCTCAGCTTACATGGCTGCAGTACAGGTCTCATGTCAGATAAAGCGCTGCCCCACCATGACACCCATTCCCTCCACACACAACACCTAGCGCACACGTACAGAGTAGATGGTCAGGCTTATCGAATTATGGTACGAGTCTTAGTTTTTTACTGACGCTTTGAGACGTTGGACAGACATTGAGTGACGGCATTCTCGTCGTTCTGCTTCATCGTGCGATACATATATCGTCCCTTTCCATGGTTGTTTTTTACGCGAGGTAGGTTCAGATGGTGTGACCGCCGCGCGTCTTGGGCCACGCGCTCACAATTGTACGTTAGCGCAGAGCATGGCACGAGAGCGGTGATCAGCACACCGTGCCGCAAGCGGACATTTAAGCAAGGTGCAAAGTCATCTCCACACAGTCAGCCCTATTTACTACATGGGTTATGCGGCCATATTCTTTATCCACGATGACCCTGGCAGCAAATTTGAAGATTGCAGTTTTGAGACGTTTGAACGATTCGCGCTACCATACATCTTGACACAAAAGCGTGCATGGAGCAGACGCAAGGCATCGATGATCCCAGGTGACACGGTTGGGTCAGTGTGTAGTCAGCATATAGAATGCCTATTAAGATGCCAAGGTCATTGCTTGCCACATGATCAAACGTGACAGTTGTATAGCAGACGTGGGTCCTTAACAGTTCCGATATTTTTCACAGTTTCCGAACTTTTAACAACGTAACACCATGAACACTACGATCCATGAACACCATGATCCATGAACACTACGCACAAATGCTCTTGGATTTGGCTAGGCTGTCGACGATCGCCACACAATGACATCTCAGTTTCTGCCGACATTCACAATCACCCCATGCCGCAGAAAGCACGTGGATATTCCAGCACGAACTTCAGTGACCACCGCATCCACCTATCTTAGCAAGAATCCGAGGGTCTGTGGTGGTCAGTTGCGCGTGACCAACATGGCGGACTTTTGTGACACGGAGACCGTTTATCTGCGGTGGGATGGAGCGTCTGCGACTGCAGAGCCTCTTTCGAGCACGGGAGCCTTTAGCGGCACGTCTGTGTATTACAGTGCGCAGCTTCACCTTGGTCATGTCATTTGATCACTCGTCAAACGTTACAGCTCCCCACTCAATATGGCTAGCTAGGACATCCCGTGTTACTCTCCTAACCTTCGTAAGCTTTTTTCACTTACTTTTTATTTTCTTACCGTTGGTTTGCTAAAAGGGAATGTCTCACATTTGAAGATATTGAAGGAAAGATCAGATATGATAAACTTATAACTATTGGTATACTCTTTAAGTGGAGAAAACTGCTCTAGACAGCACAATCGATGAGTCATGTCTTGATTACGACATCGTTCCTTGCACAACATTGAGAGCCAATTGACGGCCGTTCTATCTAGAAATCACGCTCACGAACCCCAGATATCAGCGCCTCGACAATTCTATTTTTCTTGACCTTGATTGCTGCATGGCTTGTGAAATTACTGGATTGTGAATGACGTGATGATGACGCCATGAATGTCAAGGTGAGTTTAGGGTACTCTCCCCAACATAGCTTTTCTCAGTTTCGCGGGCGTGTAGCTCAGAAACTAGAGGGCCTCAGATCTTAAAAGGGCAAGATTGTGAAAAGCACTGAAAGGTATTCACGATGATATCTCAATTCAAAGCCCCATATCCAAGTGAAACACTCCCTTTAACATCGCAATTTCACTCGCATTCTCTCTCGCACTCTCTCGCATCTCGCATTCTCATTCGCAAAAACTCGCATTCGACGAAACAAAATATTTGTCTGCGAGATTTTTCTCGTGCGTGACATGGATTTCTGCCGGCGTGGCGAATCAAGAGGGGAGTACAGGGCTTGCCCCCCCCCCCCCTGGTTCCAGAAGGGACTCATAGGCTCCAAAAGGGCCCATAGTCGACCAGACGCAATTTTTTACACAAAACGCAACAAAATTGGACGTTTTTGGGCTTGCAGATGACCAAAACCAGTCGCAAGCAAAAGCGAAGATCTCACCAGCAGACGAGAATTTTTGTTCACCTATGGGGAGGGTCGATTGAGAGATTGTAAGGCTCATTACACCGTTCAGATTTCCTACGCTATTCCCGGGGCACAATATGTCGACTTTCCGGGTCAATCTGTTCGTTAAGGAGCTTGCCACGCTGCCCTTGATTTCTTTACATTTGCTTGGAGGGCCCCGCACTGTAATCGGGGCCCTTTCTGCTAGCACACCTGGGCACCCTTGTCTATCGGGGTCTTCTACCGATTCTTCTCATTCTCCCGAAAAGCTCTATACGCTATGACCGGGTTCCATATTTTAACCAGCCGGGGTATTTCCGGTTCCTCAGGAGCCCTTTACAATGGTCTCGCACCGACGCACTCAATATGCTCATGGGCCCTCTACATTGGTCTAGGGTCCTTCCAATTCTCTGTCACTTAGGGAGGGCCCTAAACATTCGTCGGGGGCCATCTGTAACCTGTTCGAGGACAGTCGATCGCTCGGGGCCCTTCATGTTGGGTCTTGGGTACTTCCTATTTGAATGGAAGGTCCCACGTTCTTGTCCGAGACCCCATCTGTAGACCTCTTCAAGCGCACCTGATTGTTCGGGGGTCCTTCCACATTGTGCATCCTGGATACTTTTAGTTTCCTTGGGGGGGGGAGGGGGGTACCCTTGGTTGTTGGGGGTACTTTTCTGCTTACATGCCTAGGCACTCTTGATCAATCAGGCGCACTCCAAAGATGCTTCCCATTCTCCCGAAAGGCTCTATACGCTATTACCTGGGCCTCATATGTGGGATTACACTCGGCTGCTCAGCGGCCCTTCATATTGCTCTCGGGTTCTTTCCTCTTGCTTGGAGGGCCTTGCGCTGTTGCTGGGTTCATATAAAGTAATGCACCGATGCGCTCGGTGCTCGGGGGCCCTCTGCATTGATCTAAGGCTCTTTCCCTTTGATTTCATTAGCGCGGGACCCTCATATATGTCGGGATCATCTCTGATAGCCTGCCCGGGCACTCTTGATCGCACAGTGGCTTTAATTAATGCACAATGGTCTTGGGTCTCTCCCCCTTCGCTCAGAGGGCCCTGTGCTCTGGCCGGGCCCTATATGTTGGCCTGTCGGTGTATTACCGAGCGTTTGGGCCTAACACGTCGGTCTTGGGCTCATCCCGCCTGCTCTTAGGACCCTTTCCTGTTCGCGGGAGGGTTTTTGTTGCTCTGCCACGGCACCCCTGATCGCTCAGGTATTCCCTGTTGGCCCTGGATTTTCCCATATACATAGTTGCAGGATCTACGCTGTGGACTGCGACCTTAACCTTAATCGGCTGGAGCGCTCTTGGTCGCTGTGGGGTCTTCGACATGGGTCATGCGCCCTTCCGATGACGTCAGAAGGATCTTACTCTGTTGCTGAAAACCCCCACGCGTGCTTGCGAGCACCAGGGTGTTTCACCCGCTCGTGTGTAGGGGACTGGATATATTACTTCGCGTGCATCTATACATGTACGAGGCTGTAGGATGTGATTTATCATCTCGATGTTGTGCAAGACTATAGGATGACGATTTCTCTCGGTGCTTTAGCTTTAGGGCAACAGTGAGCTATGCACGGATGAACTTTTACGCACAATTGTCCGAACATAATTTTACGCGCTGTGCACACACTACATGCCATTTCTGTTGTTTGTTGAATGTGCGACACTTAGCGGACTTGTGCATCACGTTCTTGAAACATTTTGCATGCTAGGAAATTTTATATTCCTTCATAACAGTCAAAGCAAAACCCCGCATTAGTCAACGGCCATCAGCTGATCACATGGACTAGCCGGCCAGCCGTAAGTGAACTAGGAATGAGATTCGAGCTTGATTTTGATGATACTTAGGAGCCAAATTCGGTTCATTTTGCCATGCTTCTTTCCGCAATCCTAAATGACAGGACCCGCCAAGGTCTGCAGAAAATGAACCAGCTCAATGTGTGTGCATACAAAGCACGCCTGGTTTTCTAGGGTTGCGCACAGTACGGTTGATTACCATATATAAATATTGTATCTATCTGTCTATCTATCTATATATATATATATATACATATATTTAAATTGTATGAACAGAATGCAATAATTTTTGGAAGGGCCCCAAGTTCTAAGGGGTACAATGTCGTGTGCCCTCCCCCTTGACGAAATCCTAGAACCATCCTGCTCTGCCGTACCATGGTGTCCAATCACTCAAGATCCTTATATGACTCCTTTTGCAGTTGTATTTAGCTGGTTTACTAACTTTCTGAACGCTGCTTTCGGCAATCGACAATTGTCACGACTAACCCTGGATATATGGACACTCTCAGGTACCCTAAAAACAATCGCCCCAGTTCTTGCAAACCTATTGAACGGTTTTGCTTCTTGCTCAGATCCGCCCGCAATAACGCGAGCTGCCATTCGGCCCCTTTCTTCTTTCATAGCTGAGGCTCCTGAAGTTTCTCAGATTTTTACCGTGGGCGCGGTCTTTGTGACAGCGCCTTCTTTCGACAAAGACAGGGTTCTCCAGCGCTTTTACTCCCGACAGCCACTATCCTTTCCCAAGGGACGGCAGCCTCACTTTCGTTGCGAGGCCGTCTATTTTTCGTGACAACGGCCGGCAGCCTTTCTCCATAAGGGTCACGCTCTTTCATAACCAAAGCTGCCTTGCTTTCGTGACGGAGGCCACTTCTTTTTGACAGCAGGGACTACCACGATTTCGTGAGGCGGACTGTCTTTCTTTCGTGACGAGAGTTGTCTCTCTTTCGTGACGGGAACCGCTTGCCTGCTGTGACCAGATTCCTGTCTTTCAAAGCGAAGCCTACCGGTTTTTCGTGCCGAGAAGCTGCTTTGCTTTTGAAGGGAGTCACCCCTCCTCGTGTCGAAGACCGCTTTTTCCAGACGATGATCTCCTCCCTTTCATGACTAGAGCCCATCCCTTTCGTGTCGAACGTGGCCTCTCTTTCATGACCAGGGTCGTCTATTTTCGGACGGGGACCACCACTCTTTTCGCGACTGGGGGCCGCCGGCCAGGGTCCTGTGGGCAGCGGAGTCAGGCCCCGCATGCGCTGCGTTGTGGGCCCCGCTGTTGCCCTGGGTCCCTGTCTCCTGGTGCGTTGGCTGAGGCTGCTAGTAGTTATTTTAGTACATTTCCAGCTACACGCCACTGCAAATGCCAGGTTCACGCCACCGCAGGCTGTCTGTAAGTAACCACAGTACATGGACTTTGGTGTTTCCGTGCCTTGTGGGAAAAACTGAGGCACTTGTCATGCGGCAACACTGGGTACGAGTCCCAACGCGCGCATTTCCTAGTCCGACTGGCATTGAGGGTCTCCTGATGGCTGGACACAGAGCGAACGACGAAATCCGGCTAGGGGAGGCCGTGTCGGAGTAGCAATAGTGGTAGTAGTAGTAGCGTAGTGCTAGAAGAGTAGTAGTAACGCATCACACGTACAGGCCTCCTAGCTCCTATCTGACAGAAGGCGAGGAGCAAGATTATCCGATGAACTGGGGCGGTCTATGTTGAATGATGACCTCTGGTTACGCGCGGTTTAGCTTACAAAGCGCACTGTTTCTTGACAGGCTCGCAGAGTGACAAAATTTCAGGGCAGCATTAGAAGCATGACCTTTTCAGTCTTTAGACACTACTTTGAAATCAGCGTATGGGAACAACGCTGCCTTTTGCGAATATATTTGAGCTAAATGAACCATTTTATCGTGGCGGCCGAGCGACACAGAATCGCCTACCCCGTCTTTACCATTGGGCTGTCTGTCCATTTGCCCTGCCGGTAGGAGAGCAGCAGCATCCGTAATGTGACGAGCCTGCATTCACAGGATTGAATGGGCCCGAAAGGCCCCACATCGCCGGGCTAGTCACAGGAGCGGGCAATAGGCGCATTCAATTTTCAAATCCGACCATTGATGCATGCGAGCAATCGATGCTGCTTTCACCGATCGCTCGCCGTGAGCTTGCAAAAAGGCGTCAGCACAGGTGACGTCAATGAGGCAGCAAACTCGTACCCAGTAATGAGGGCTCTTTGTCTGCTTTGTCTTCCAGTGAACGCTTCATGAGAGTGTCCGTAGAGAATGCACGGCGTCGGGCAAGGTTTTACTTGGTTTAGATTGGAACCGTTCGGTCAGCCCTGGCCTGTTCAGGACCATGGACTTACGGAGAATTGTGGGCGGTGAGCAACACTGAAGCAACACTTCGTCTGGAGGAATTCCGGTCCGCCACTGGAGCGGCACTCCAGCCATCTCGTGGCATAGGGGCTGCAGTTGCGCGGGAGAGGAGCGAGGATTGCAATGTTTTTCTTGAGGGGAATTTCGGCGAGCACGCATCACGTCGATTTTTGATTTTATGTCGGTAGCCTTCTATGGTGAAACACGAGAAGCATCCAGGCCTGAAGGGGGATGGACACCAGGCTTCCCTTTGGCTGCGATGAGAGTACATTTCTTGATTACTTTTTCCACAGACAGGTCACCTTCGGCGAGATGAGTTTACCTTTTTCTGTCTCCCCTCGGTCCTT